TGTGCAAACTAGAAATAGAGATGAAACATTACAATTAGACGCCAGCAATAAACAAGTAAATCGTTACACACTGTAATCCACTTAACGTTTCATGTCTTACGACCTTTCTTTAAGAGGTATAGGTACATGAAAAGATATGGATGGGAGTAGGCAGGAGATAAAAAATGAACTTACGGCCGCAACTTCACGATATTGAGCTAAGTAAAGTTTGAGTGACCCGGCAACTTGTTTCATAGCTTTGGTTTGGGCAGAACTGCCTACACGGCTTACCTAATTCGTAATGAAATTTAAATTTCGGTTACTTGGATATAAAAAAAGCGTATGATGACTTGCATATGAGAAATACTTACAGATATACCAACGTTGATAGCAGGTCGCACGCTTAAGAATTGTTTATTGAAATTTAATGAATATGTATAATTTAATAGTATGCGCAAAATTTTTATCATACCCTTTAAAGAACAGTTCAGCTTCCAAAAAAATTTGTCCATCCGTGATAGAAATGACATTAGTGGGAATATAAGCAGACACATCACCACCCTGAGTTTCGATAATTGGTAATGCGGTCATAGATCCGGCGCCAAAGTCCTGATTCAATTTGGCGGCACGTTCAAGTAATCGAGAGTGAAGGTAAAATACATCACCAGGATAAGCCTCACGACCCGGAGGACGACGAAGCAGTAAAGACATTTGACGGTAAGCAACGGCTTGCTTAGACAAATCATCATAAATAATCAATGAATGTTTGCCATTATCTCTAAACCATTCACCAATGGAACAGCCAGAGAATGGCGCCAAATATTGGAGAGGCGCCGCTTCAGAAGCTGTAGCAGCAACAATAATAGAATACTTCAATGCATCTACAAGAATATCATCCACTTATATGTTAGAATGAATAGATAAAGATACAAATTCTATTATATTAAGATGAATTATAACATCTTACCGTTTTCTTCGAGAGTTTGGACCAATTGAGCTACAGTCGAACGTTTTTGGCCAATGGCGACATATACACAGTATAGTTTCTTACTTTCATCACTACCATCATTCCACCTTTTTTGGTTTAAAATAGTATCAAGTGCAACTGCAGTTTTACCGGTCTGACGGTCACCAATAATTAATTCACGTTGACCACGACCAATTGGCACCATAGCGTCGACTGATTTAATACCAGTCTGCATAGGTTCATGTACAGAACGACGAGGTAAGATACCAGGAGCTTTCACTTGAACACGTCGTCGTTCTTCTGCTTTGATTGGTCCCTTGCCATCAATGGGATTGCCGAGAGCATCAACGACACGACCTAGTAGGCCGGGTCCAACCGGTACATCCACAATCCGTCCTGTGCGCTTTACAGTGTCACCTTCTTTGATTAATCTGTCGTTACCGAACACGACAATACCTACATTGTCGGGTTCTAAGTTGAGAGCCATACCCTACATGAGTCGGTGAACCATTCATGAAACAATCAACACCTTCGTATTTATGAAGAATGCGTATATATGTATCCACCAATTTTTTACGGAATTGAGCCATAACAACCCAAATTTACTAATAGTGATTGGTTAAATATTCGTAAATCTTTACGGCTCTAACCAATATCTTGCTTTAAATAAAAAAAATTTAGAACAAATCAGATCTTGGCCGCGTTTTAGTAAATTTGGGCTTCTTATTACGATCCAATTCCGTGAATAGGTAGATATCTAACAGCTTGCCTTGAGACCACTAGAGAATTCCACCATTTCTTCGGCTTGAACATTTTTGAGTCCATAAACACGAGCGATACCGTCTCCAATTGAGAGGACACGTCCAGTCTCTTGGACTTCAACGTTGGCAGTAACACCAAGGATGCGTTGCTCCAGAATAGAGGAAACTTCGGATGTGGCTTATTATTAACATAGAATAAATAGATTTATCAATCCATTTGTTATTTTCTAATTGAGATCATTGCATTGCGTTAATCTACTGATCCTTCTTTTGCATATTATTTATTCTGTCAAACCATGCATACTCGTGTGTTTTAATACATACCGGGCTTAGCAGCTGCATACCTTCGAACGGCAAAATTTAATACTACATTGTTGGCACGAATCTATGATGATTGTTCAACCTTGTTAGTGCAAAATGGTTTGGATTATATTACGACCCCGATTCAACTTTCATAGCATATAATAATCGTTCTTAACATCTTAAATTATCCTAAATATTGTTTACATCTAAAACGCCTATCATCTTAATTGATTTCAATTAATTACTGAAAAACTTTTCTATTATTTCATATATAGCGGCCCGTTGATGTCTATTCAGTTTACCCATTTTTTAACCCTTCAAACAAGCAAGGCAAAAGTTTAATCTCCGCTTAAAAACACATACAACAGGCACCGCCCTTCGTGCTAATGTAGTAGCCAAAGGTAAAGAAGCACGCGCAACATTCTTTAGCATTGTTACTTTATAGGTTGGTCCCCGAATCGTTAAAAAGATGAATTGCGAAGAATCGCAAAAAAAAAAAAAAAAAAAATATATATATATATATATCGATGGCTGTATCACATTAGATCTGATTAAGATGAAGATTGCTAAAGCGGAGTCAAATCATGTGACCAACCACCAATCAAATTATAGAATTTTTTGTATTTTTCAGGTTTTTTGTTTTTATTTCTACCTGGACCAAGCGGTTCCTGACGTCTATACAAGAGTTGTATCCAGAGTCAGCTGACTATATGAAAGACAAGGTATTTTGTTTTCGTTTAGTTTGACGGAAAGGGGTATTACCTAGTGCAAGGATTATCTGATCCGAGTGATGTTGTATAGCAACTCCTTGACAGGTATTACCTGGTGCTTGGTGCATCAGAAAATTTCTGGTCCACCATTGCGATGATCCGTCCTCTTTTATTTCATTTTTGGTTTGTTGGAGTGACGAAATATATTTCTAATTATCTACTTTTAACAAGATGAGACCAGGATCGTACAGCTGATTTATATCGTTTTTGGGATGAAGTGATGCTTGATTAAAAGTAAGGGTACCGTTATGAATCTTATTTTTTCCTGAAAATATTTATAAATTATAAGCAAAAAAATTCAGATAACACATGATAAAGAGTCACTTGAAGATGGGAATGTCGATGTTAGTAGTGACGAAGCGATGGAAATGAACCAAGCTGTGTATAATGAATTTACAGAGAAATATCAAACAATTCCAGAAGTAAATGGACCTTATCAACTGAAAAAGTTGAAGATGCATTATACTCATTGGAATGAAATGCAGTAAACATTTACTCGTTGCATTCATGTATATCTTATGTATATAATTTGCAGCTTAATGATGTTTTATTTTTACTTTATGAAAGTCTCTGTCATTCTTTTGTCATCGACTCGGATGATAAGAACTATATTCAAAATGGCATCTTCACATATGAGTGCCGCCAAGGGAAAATGTCCCTCTGATAATTATAGATGATTCAGCCCTTCTGATCAACGACGTATCGGG